ACCGTTCTATGAGAATTATAAGCCCTGAGGAGCTTATACCCAGTTTTGTTGTTTACATAGAAGGGGAGAACCTATTACTTCCCCCCCTGTGCCTTTAGAGGGAGGTATGTGCAGCATTGCAGCTGCACAGCCTGTTTTAGATGACCTGACTGGACTCCGCTGCGGCAAGGTCTGGGGTATAAACTGCTAAGGGAGAGAAAGAAGCATTTGGGGCAAATAGCGGGTAGCCTTGTTCCCCGGGGAGGCCTGGAGGTGGGTCTGCGGCTGCTGCGACTGTCCTGTGTGGTAAGCTCCAGTGGAAATGGTGACGTCCGTGGCAGGCGACACGACCCAGGCCAAGTCCGAGGAGAAGAGACAGCATCAAGTGCTGAGGGGCTCCTCTGCCCGCCAGAGCGGCGACAGCTTAACGTGGACCGACCCTCGTAGGTGTGCAAGCGCAGAGTTTGGTTTGACAGAAAGAGTGGCATTAGAATACTCAATGCAGTTTCGTGTATTCAGAATACGGTCTGGATGGGGAAGGGAAGGAGAAGCATTTTTCTAATTAGCAGAAATTTGATTTGGAGGAATATTTTTTAGAGCATTTATATAGCATTTCTTTCATGTGTTCTATATATTTTTATTTTATTTTTTTAAAGATTTCTTACTGATTTTTAGAGAGAGAGGAAGGGAGAGGGAGAGAGAGAGCAAAACATAAATCAGCTGCCTCCTGCATTCCCCCTACTGGGGATCAAGCCCACAACCTGGGCATGTGCCCCGAGTGGGAATCAAACTGGCAACCTGTCAGTGCACAGCCCGCTGAGCCACACCTTCCAGGGCTCATGTGTTCTATGTATATTTTCAGTGGAGAGTTTTACAAATCAGCTAAATGAGGTTAGGCTGATGAAACGTTTTAACTTAAAGCAGGCCTCTGTTTGCATAAGAATGTATCCGGCATGAATCTGAAGTACCAACGCTTTCTGGAACTTCTATGCACTAGGAGCCAGGGCATACCGTCTGAGTTACTCATATTCCCTGTATGTTAAGATACAGGGCTTCATTGAGGAGTCAATTTAGAAAAAACAAACAAAAAAACCACTTAGATTTTTTTTTTCTGGCGAGAGAGAGACTCATTTGGATGAATTTGCTAATACGTTCAGTGTTGGCGGTTGTTGGAAGAGCATGTTCCCCAACCATGATGTTAGATTCTTTTCCAGTGTCCCAGAGGGAACAAAATTTGTATCTGGCAGAGGTGTGACTGAATGTGAAGCGTGATTGTATGTGAAAACAACTGTGTAACTTATGACACTTAACTTAATCACCATTAAAATGAATTAAGATTGGAACTAAAATCAAAGAAATGTAGTGAGTGCCCTTGAATGGGGAGGAGCACAGCAGTGACGTCAGCTGGTGGCCTCTGCCCCCCCCCCCCCCC